AATACAAAGGACAATAAATTGAAAAGAAAAAAAAAATTGCTTAAATGTGATCAACAATTAAAAGGGAAAGAGTCGAAGAAGGGAAAAATAATTCATCAATCTTAAAAATCTTACTAATTACTCCTAATAACTAGGAGTTACTTACCCTTCACATATTTGTATTCACCCACTAAATACAAGCTTCGTATCTCAATCACATTTTTTCACTAAAACCGAAATTTAAAGTATTAATAAAAATTAATATTATGTGTTCTAAAAAGTAATTAATATACTATGTATTTTATTATTATTGCATGTTCATTTTTGTATAAACGTAAAAATTGATGGCAATACAATTACTTATTAGATATAAATATATAAAGAAAAGATATTTTTTTTAATCTCGATACATTTAAATTGAGAATTTTTATTAATTCCATTCAAAAGAAAAATAAAACTTTTGTTTTAAATTTTTTTCACTTCTATATCTGATTTGAATGTAATTTTTTTATTTAATTTGAAATAAATGTTATGGATTAATTATTAATATGACTAGCATGATTAGTATGTAATTTTTATTCTAAATGTGTTTAGATAAGGTACTTTTTGTTTTTTTTTTTACTTTTTTAGGTAAAAAAAGTTTTAATTTACTATTTTTTTTTTTGAAAATCATTCATGTACCTTTAGTTTACTTATAAGTAAATATTTTAAATCATTCATCTCTTAACTGTTCTTTTTCGGATCTATCTGCATCACAAAGCTGATCGATGTCGCTGTAATGGTTAAAAATAGGGTCCAACCAATATCTAGCATAAACTGATAAATCAAAGTTTAAAAATTCACTATTTCCACATAGTCCCCTTCAGATTATCTCCATTTTAAAACACTAAATGAATAAAAACCAGAAAGACATTTTTACTTTGGTCTTCCAAAAAAATTTCCTTATCCTTTTTTCTTTCGTTTGATTTGGTAAAGAAAAAGTTCCTTGGGGTATTGTGGAATGATTAGAATATAAAGGCCCACTTGAAAGTTATCTACACAAAACTTTGTTTTCACTTCTTGATGGACATAATTATTTGCCACGTAAAATTTTCTAGTAGATTACCGTTGCTTTTAACC